GAGTTAAAAGTAACACAAAATGTGTTGTCCTTAACTAGACACACAGGTGTGTTAAGATATAACACAGGTTGTGTTGTTTTTAACACATCCATTTTAAGAGTGCATCAACACATGATGTGTGTTGTTTTTTAACACATCTCTTTTTAGAGTGTGGTATTTTGACACAAGTTGTGTAGTTTTTAACACACAATGTGTGTTAAAATGTAACTCTGGATAGAATTTAAATGGGTGGAGGGAAGTTTGTGTTTATGAACCTAATTAGAGGTAGTATATTTTCTATGGTATCCCATAACAAGCTCTAAAATAAATGAAACAATACATTACAATAAATAAATAAAATCTTAATTCATAAAAAAAACTTCAGATTAATGAGTGTTTTTGGCAGCCAATCACATCATGCATCGGTTTCAATGTTTTTTTCAAATGCTGATTTCACTTGTTATTAATAACTAATTTATTATAACAAACTATTTATTTCTGTCAGACGTCTACAGAAACACTTATTGAGAATTACCAGGTTTTGTGTTGACGATTCATTGAATGTTTGTTTTGATGTCACCAGAATCGTGATTAGTGGCAGCTTTATTTGGGCTCTTGACCCTTCACTCTTTATCATTCGTTTTTCTGTTTGCTGTTTCTGTGTATTTATATTGCACATCTGAAACAGTTGAAATTATCTTGAGGAAAAAGATCATTAAATGATCATTTTTCAACATGATGTTTTTTAACATAGCAAGAGAAGTTTAATGTTTAAGAGATAACTTATATTTGATCACTTATATTTGATAACAGATATTCAGTGTTTAAATTATATTATGGTGTACACTACCTTATGCTATAATTCTTTAAAAAATATGTTTAGAGAAAGTTTAAAGCTGCAGCAGAAACTAGTCAAATACAGACATCAAGAATCAGCATATGACTCTCAACAATGGTGGCAAAGCTTCATGTCTCTAGTATAAAGCTCATCTATAAGTCCCAGCATGCATTGCGGCATGGAACTTTTCGTTTGTCACCATTATTGAGATCCATACGCTGATTCTTGATATCTGTGTTTGACTGGTTTCTGCTGTAGCTTTAAACTTTTTTTTGTCATTCTGCACTTTTTAATTGCTGGATGTAGTTTCACAAAATCTTCAGAACTAACAATACATCATTAAAATAAAGCACACCATCCATACACTCAAAAACTTGATCATAACTTGCTGATTATGACATCTTCAAGAACCTTCTGATCATATTTTCTCTCACCATAACAGATGTATTTGATTAAAATACAGTTACAGCAGCCAGAGAAACACTAAAACAAGAGTAAAGGGTCAAGAGCCCAAATAAAGGAGCCATTAATCACGATTCTGGTGACTTGAAATAAAACTGAAATAAAACATCAAACCTCTGTTAATTCTCAATAAGAGCTTGTCTATGTAGATTAATGATGTTTAAAACATCCAAATGTTCAAACAAACTCTATTAAACATCACTGGACTACATAAACACAAGTTACCAATACGTGTCAGTGTTCATCCAAACACTTTTGTAAGCACACGGGAATTAACTCTGGCAAATACTCTCCGACTACAGTCACATGTGACGCATATCTGACACAAGTTGTGTTACTATAACACATTAGTGTGTAAAATGTTTCAACAACACACTGCTGCTGTCTAACACATTAGTTGTGTTAAATGTAACACAAAATGTGTAATCCTTATAAACACAGAGATGTGTAAAGAAACAACACAGGTTGTGTGTTAAATTTGACACAACATGTGTTGTCCTTGAGCAAACACACTAAATGTGTTAAAATCTACAAAACGTGTTAAAATCTACACAACATGTGTTAAAATCTACACAAAATGTGTTGTCCCTGAGCACACACACTACATGTGTTAAAATCTACACAGCATGTGTTAAAATCTACACAAAATGTGTTGTCCCTGAGCACACACACTTTATGTGTTAAAATCTACACAGCATGTGTCATTTTTAACATCTCTTTTTACAGGTTGTGTTATTTACAAAATCATTTTATAAGAGTGCACCAGTGTAAATAAAACTTATTTACACACAATATTTTGTCAGTTGCTACATTTTAATCTAATTCAAAGTGCAAACTTAGTGAAATCACACTCCCTGTGTTAAGAACAATAACACACTGGTTGAGTTAAAAGTAACACAAAATGTGTTGTCCTTAACTAGACACACAGGTGTGTTAAGATATAACACAGGTTGTGTTGTTTTTAACACATCCATTTTAAGAGTGCATCAACACATGATGTGTGTTGTTTTTTAACACATCTCTTTTTAGAGTGTAGAACTGAAACAAATACAAGCAGGCCTGCTTCATATGACAAATAAAACAAATGGTTCCCCAACCACAGTTAAGAAAGTCTTTTCCTTTTGTTGTTATAAAGTCTGATCCTTCCACGAAAGAAATATTGAAGTAGAAAATAAAAATATAAGCAGAAGTAAACATGTGACAGAAGAAAGATTTACTAGCCGGGTAGTTAAACTCAGTTTCACTGGAAGTAGGCTTTCCGATGGTGTTGTAACTGAAAGAAAGACAGATGTATGGAGAGAGATGTTGCGGTCTTATGATCCTCCGGAGTGTGTGGGTGGGATGGCTTGCGTTTCCACCGCCAACAGTACCCTTACTTGATAGGAGTGGTATGCTGGAAAGAAGCGATCGACGTCATTTTTACGCGAAGAAAGCGACATAGTAAACAACAATGGATGACAGACAGCAGATCTATTTCTTGCTTCTCAGCATGTTTGTCACTAGAAACAAACGCTGGCATTGGGCGTTTCCAAGAAGCCAACACAAAGTCCGACTCAGGAGAATGATCTCGAGGACGCGAGTCCAGTAATTCTGTTAATGGAACAGCGCGCTCTTGAACGCGGCACTCAGCCACTCCGGTTATCTCTGTATGTTCATTTTAGGCAACAATAAAACGAAATATGTTATAAAACACCACTCTGCTTCTTTTCGATTTCATTTCAATACATTAAAACATTCTAAAGCACACTGTTAGACCTTACCAGGTTTTTTTTACAGTAAAATACTGGCAACACTGTTGCCAGTTATTTACTGTAGAAATGCACTAAAACTCGAGTTAACTAAAAAAAAAAAAAAACTTATTAACTTTAGTGCATTTTTACAGTAAATAACTGGCAACAGTGTTCATCTCATTCCAGGATTGTATAAAACTCCCAGCATGCACTGCTGCATGAATAAAAAAAGAAATTGCCACCATTATTGAGATTAATGTGCTAAATTTTGATATCTTGGTGTTTCAACAACACTGTAGCGCTGTTTTGGTTTATGTATGATATGTTAAAAACAAATAGTCGTAATTAATTGCTGTGGTTTCACGGTGGTGGTAATGTAACACTTTTGGTTGAGATTGAAACTCTGAATGAGTAAAAATGAATTAAGTAAAATTTAGTAAATGAACAGACCATATGATTATTGTCATGTTTTGACAAATCAAATCATTACTAAACTGTGTGTCTGCACAAGTGTGACTTGCTTAAACACAGCTCACAGCATCTAAAGAAAATCTCATATTACAGCGTCAGCAGACCAACTAAAGCAAACACTGATCTCTATGATGGTAACTTCAAGCCAAACATTTTTAAACATCTCAACAACATCTTCTATAGATGTATGACAGAAATAAAGCCATACTGGTTAATAATAAGTGTAATAATGTGTAATGGCTGAAGTCAGTTGTAGTTCTTGTGTTTCTCTATTTTCTGTCCTTGATGTTCCTCTTTCCTTCAGTGATTCTGCTTGTTAACAGTTCATCACTAATGCTCAACAATCACTTACATATTCCCTTAATTATCTCACTGCAACACTGCATCAATGTTACTTTTTACTCTTTGTAGTGTGGATTTTCCTGTGGGCTTGAAAGGGTTAACAGTGTAAGATAAAAAGACACTCCCACAAAATGTATTTTAACAGTAATAAACTGTAAGTTATAAAACAGGTTTATACTGGCAACACTGTTGCCAGTAGTTTACTGTAAAATCTTGTTTTTGGGGTCACCGTTGTGCTGAAAAGTAGAGCCTGAGCTTCAGTCCAGGAGAAGATCTACAAACATTGATGATACGCTGCATGTTGCTTTATTTAAAAGGCACTGTCTGTGTTAGTTGCAGAATCCGGTGGAAATTTCTTTATTTACAAAAGTTAATTTTTGTTGTTTCTAATTAAATAAGTTCACAATAATACCTTGCTCACATTATTAATGCATTATAAATTTAGTTGATTCTTTTAAGTTGGTTTCTGCAAGTGAAATTCGTTAACTCGAGTTTTTAGTCCATTTTTACAGTAAACAACTGGCAACAGTGTTGCCAGTATTTTACTGTAAAAAAACCTGGTAAGGTCTAACAGTGTAGTTTTGTCATTTTTTTTTTATTACAAGATCATCTGTAATGTTTATTGCAACATTGTACCAATGCGATATGCAATACATTACATATTGCCAGGAATATGTTTAATATCTTTAAAATTAAACGAAAAGAGGCAGGGTTGTTTTATATTTAGTTTAGTTATAAATATAACGTTACATACACGCAGTGATAATCAATAGGCTATGCGTTGCCTGAACCACATTTGTGTGCTTTAGAATGTATTGAAATGAAATCGAAAAGAAGCAGAGTGGTGTTTTATAACATATTTCGTTTTATTGCTGCCTAAAATGAACATACAGAGATAACCGGAGTGGCTGAGTGCCGTGTTCAAGAGCGCGCTGTTCCATTAACAGAATTACTGGACTCGCGTCCTCGTGATCATTCTCCTGAGTCGGACTTTGCGTTGCCTTCTTGGAAACGCCTAAAGCCAGCGCTTGTTTCTAGTGACAAACATGCTGAGAAGCAAGAACAAGATCTGCTGTCTGTCATCCATTGTTGTTTACTATATCACTTTCTTCGTGTGAAAATGACGTCGATCGCTTCTTTCCAGCATGTCACTCCTAGGGTACTGTTGGCGGTGTAAACGCAAGCCTGATCATGGTGGACCCGACCCGACCCGTACTGTACCGTACCGTACCCCTCAGTGGAAACGAGCCAAAAGTGGTACGGTACGGTTCGGCTTTTTGGTACCATTCACAACTTTTGACAGTGGAAACGCAAATAATTGCGTACCGAACCGAACCGTACCGTACCACTCAGTGAAAACGAGCCATAATTGTTCTAAAAGAAGTCATTATTTAATTAGATAGTTGTTGGATGACTATCCACCCACCCATCCTGACCTGTCTCTGTTGTGCACTGCAGGCTCTGGAGAAGAGGAATCAGGATCTGAAGCAGAGTGAAGAGAAGGTGAAGGCCGCAACTCTGAGCTCTGCACCAAGAGAGAGATGATCCAGGAGCTGGACCAGGAGAAACAGGAAGCAGAAGAGAGGTCACATATTCATTCATTTTGCTAAGAGGGGTCATCAAGTGAGAGTTAATTTTACCGTAGGTGGCGATTCATATCTGAAATGCTTCGTGTGTGCAGATACGAGCGGACTCGGCAGCAGTACAGGGATGATGTGGTGCATCGTGTCCGTGAGGAGCTCATGCAAGAGCACACGGCTCACATCGAGCAGCTCGCCAGCCAGCATCTGCAGCACAAACAACAGCTCCAGTACTTCACCTTTAACCTACAACCAGTCTATTACGTCATACTGGATTGCAATACGTCCTTTTTAAAGCGTGCAGAAGCACAAGCGCTGACTTTCATTAACCCCGGGTCCTTCCGCAGGTCAAAGTTGGCTGATCTCAGTCAGGAGGTGTTAGCTGTGCAGGAATGCTACATTTCTGTTTGCAAAGAGAAGGACAAGCTGGAGGAAAATCTCCAAAACAAGCTTGAAGAAGAGAAGAGATTGAAAGAAATTGAGCCAAGTACTATATTAGGTTATTTATTTATGTAAGTTTAATTAATAAATTTTTTTATTTACATTTGTTGAATAATAAAAAAAAATATTCATTTATTTTTAAGTTAAATGTATTCATTTGTTTAATTTAATTTACATTTATTTATTTATTTGTTACTCATAAAATAGTTTTTATTTGTTGATTTATTTAATTGCATTTTAATTGTTTATGTAAATAATTATATAATAATTATTTATTTTGTATATTTGATTTAATTCAGTATTTAATTTATTTATATAATTAATTTACTATTTATTTTTATTTATTAATATATAAATATTAATATATATATATATATTTTTCTGTCTAACTGCAGACTGATCTCATGAAGTAGCGTGTGTATGACACACCAATTCGTATTTCCATTTTTTGCGTGCTATCAAGACGCATAATCGCCTTTCAGCGTGTTTATGAACGCCGTTGACTTAACGTTATATAAATATATGACTTACCTCAACCCCGTCCCTAAACCTAACCGTCACTGGGGTTAGTGGCATTTATGACTGTTCCCTTACCATCCAAGGTAAAAAGAAGATATGACTTACCTCGACCCCATCCCTAAACTTAACCGTCAATGGGGTTAATGGCATTTATGACTGGAGATTTGACTGCGTGTTCAGACACGCGGAATGACACGGACGTTAATGGCGTAGACATATACGCATACACGCGGATAGCTCAAAATGCGTAGAGATAACACGCCACCTGACTCGAAAGTGGCGTATATGTTTACGCAAAAGTCATGATGTCATGTTGCTAACTGGGTAGACTGTCTGTCTGTGCCAGGCGTTAATATTAGATCATGTCCTCTCGCTGGTGTTGTAGGTAAAGAGGCGAGAGGAGAGTGAGGCTGCTCTGGAGTCGTTGAGGTCTGAGCTGGAGTGTCAGCATCGGGAGGACGTGTCTCAGCTCGAAGCCCAGTGGAGGACACACACACACAGGCTGAGATTGAGCTGCAGGTCAGAGAGCAGCTGGAAGCGGAGGAGCAGGAGACGGTTATTGATGATGGGCTGTTTACGCCACTGTTCTTTCTGCTCTGTGCCAATTCACCATTCAGATGCACAGCAAAAACTCCAGTGTTAAATTAACTCTCCTGGGAGTTTATATGACTCCACACTCAAGAGTGTTAAATTAACTCTGAAGCAGTGTTAAAGTTAATGAGATAATTAAGTGATTAATTGAGCAATGATTGACCAACATTGAAGACACCTGATGTTAACAAGTAGAATCACTGAAAGTGAAAAATCAAAATTATAAGTCACCATTATGGAGATCAGTGTTTGCTTCAGTGGGGCAGTCTGTCAACCCTTACATTTTATACTTTAGATATTGTTTTTGTCACAAAAGTCTGATGGGGCTGATCCACTGAGGGGCTGGAATGAAAGTTTTCATGACATCTTTTTGTGACGTGTTCTGCACGTCCGATATAGACATTAATGGATCCTTCGTACAAGGTTAAAAACAAGTTCAACATGTTTTCAACATAACTCATGGTCTTATTTAGACAATTTAAACTGTTTCTGGACTGAAGAAACACTCTCAGGATGCATTAAATTTACAATTTGAAATAAATTAGTTTATTTACATCGTTTAGATGGTGATATTTGTTTCATTTTAAGTCACCATTGTGGTGATGAGTGTTTGCTTTAGTTGGGCTCTTGGTCCCAATTCTTCTTACTTTAGCTTTTCTTTGGCTGTTGTAACTGTTTGCATAACACCATTGATTGTGCAGAGAAAGCCAAGAAAATTAAAAATTAGATGTCTTCAGATGCTTGTTGATGATGACAAAATCATCTAAACTTATGTTTTTATATCTGAAATTTATAATTATTCATCTCGTAGAACTGCATTATTTGGACCAGTAACTTTATAATGACCACTGCATACAATATGTTTTAAGAAATTGAAACACATAGTCACACACAGATATCAAGATTTTGCATATGATTCTCAACGACGGTGACAACCAAAACAAAAAAGCCTGGGAATCGAGGATGTTTTGTACTATGAAAGCTACCCATCATGCATTGCGGCATGAAGCATTTTTTTTATTTATTGTCACCATTTTTGTGAATCATATGCAAAATCTTGATGTCTGTGTGTGACTAGATGGAACATTTTCTCAAAACATTGTGTAAATTTGCTTTTTGTCCAACTACTAGGCCAAATAATGCAGTTCCACAAGATTTGTGGTTATAAACTCCAGATACAAACACAAAAGTCTAAACACAACGTTAAATGCCCACTTTATATTGATTTCATCATCGTCAACAACCGACAAGGAGCTGATGAGAGCCAATTTTCTTGGCTTTCTCTGTCACAACAATGGTGTTATTCAAACACACACAGTTACAACAGCCAAAGAAAAGCTAGAATACTAATTATTGGGACCAAGAGCCCAACTAAAGCAAACACTGATCACCACAATGGTGACTCAAAATGAAATAAATATCACCATCTAAACAATGTAAGGAAAAAAAATAAACATAAGTTTTAATTTAATGCATCCTGAGAGTGTTTATTTGGTCCATAAACAGTATAAACCAGTATAGACCATAAATAATGTTGAGAATGGCCACATTTGAACTAGTTTTTAACCTTGCACGAAGGATCCATTAACGTCTTTTTCAGATGTCCAGAACATGTCAAAAAAGACGTCATAAAAACTTTCATTCTGGCCCCTCAGTGGAAGTCTTTTCAAACTCTGACTTTTGTGACAAAGACATTGAAAAACATCTTTTGGACATCATTTTGCTTAGTGAGTTATGTCAAACCATAATCAGCAGCACCTGATCACCTTTTCTCTAAGCAAATAATGATCACCATTATGGTGACTTCGAAAATGAGATTTTTCTTCTTCAGCGATTCTGCCTGTGATCATCAGGTGTCTTCAATGATGGTCAATTATCACTAAATTAATCACTTAATTAGCTCATTAACTTTAACACTCTTGAGTGTTAATTTAACACTCATATTTTAACACTTTAACACTCTTGAGTCTGGAGTCAAATAAACTCCCAGGAGAGTTAATTTAACACTGGAGTTTTTGCTGTGTGGAGGTCTGTTTCATTTGTCTTTTGTTTTATCTGTCTTTTTGTTTGTTTGTATTTTTGTTCTTTTCTGTCTGTCTTTGTGTTAGTTGGAGAAGTCCTGGGCTCAGAGGTTACAGGAAGCTGAGGAAGAGGTCCGGAAGGCCAGGCAGTCAGATACCCGCGAGGGAGCGCGTCAGACCGGCTCGTCTGAGTCGGCGGAGCGGCTGATTTCAGCGGAGGACCCGGAGGTCCGGCTCAGAGCTCAGAGAGAGAGCCTGCAGCAGGAGGCCTCGTCCGCCCAGGCCAGAGCCGTGGAGGAATCAGTACGACACGCTGAGAGAGAGCTGCAGCAGAAGCGCTCCAGGTGTGATGGATTTACAGCTCTTAACAGTAAATACCACCATTTACATAGGGCTGGGCGATGTGGCAGGGTTAAAAATCATCTCTGTCATTTCTTAGGTCTTAGGTTGCGATATCAAGGGCTCGTTCTCGATGGCTCCAGGACTTGCCCTCCCTCCCAGAATACAAAAGCTGCTTGCAGACAGAGAAGGATGAATGGGAGCGACTACAACAGCAGCATGTCCAGGAACAGGTATTTGTTGTAACGGACACATCCATGACGGCTAAACAGTCCGGTATCAAACCTCAAGGCTTTGAACCAGATTCCCTGAAGTCTGCAGTGATCTGTGGATCTAAAGACCCTGTTACGGTTGGTCGGGTAACTCAGAAACACACACACTTTCAAGATAGTGTTTTTAAAAGCGATGTCAGGACCCCTAATATCACACTGAGAAAGCAGAGCAGGGAAATGTTCATGGAGGGCTTTGAGTCCGGAAGAGCAGAACCATCAGCCGGTCGATCATTCCTGATTGAAGAAGCGCCTGTTCGGGATGAAGGACAGAGTGACTGGAGTGTAACTAGTAATGGCTCCAACTTTATGAACTGACGTCCTCCTATCCTGAGCCTGGGAAGCCTTTCTCAGTCAACGGCCCGTCCTTGGGTGCTTTGGACTTTGGAAGCTCCATCGGTGATAACTCTGATGTTAAGATATACAAAGAGATCGTTCAAGCTCCGTCTTACTCTAAACCCAGCGTGTGTGTGGACAGAAGAACAAATAAACACAGAGAGCCAATCCCTGGATCTGAGGGAGATGGTGTCTGGAAAATGCGTCCAAAGAGCTTATTTTCAGAGTTGAAAGTGTGTCAGCAGGACAGTGGGTTCGACAGCCCCTTGGCACAGCTTCAGGAATGAGATTTTGATTTGTTTGTGCCTGTGCAAATGAAGAGTTCAGATGCAAAAGCCTCTAAATGCCATTTGAAATTTTCTTCTTTAATGATGATTTTTATCAAGCTTGTATATTTAAGTTCAGTAATTTCACTTAAATGGTGTTATTTAAGTGAAATTACTGAACTTAAATATACAAGTTTGATAAAAATCATCATTAAAGAAGAAAATTTCAAATGGCATTTAGAGGCTTTTGCATCTGAACTCTTCAAATGGTCTTTGTATATAAAAAGAGTTAACCTTGTACTTGTTTGAGCCAAATGTCTTTTGTACTCGTCGTAGCAGTAGTACTGTCAGTGCTTGAATGTGTCACCTTTTAACTTAATAAAACAACAGTTTTACATTAACTAAACCGTTTCTTTTCGTTCTTATATTCTTAGAATAAAAAGAATAAAGTTTATAGAATTGTTAAATGTTCCTTAAAAAAAATGAAAAATTGGGTAACAATGTTTACAGTGTTATCAAAACGTACACTACACGGACCAAGATCTTCGCTAATGTGAGCGTTGCCGTTTTTCGAGTCGTGACTCGTGAATCATAACGCTGTTGCTGTTCATAACTACGTGTTAATATTTTTTTACAGTCTATGGTTCATTCCCTCAAAGCAAAGCACCGCCTACACTGAACATTATATCTAAGTGCTGGGCTCTAGAAAGTAACTTATCAACAGAAAATAACCGAATCACTGTACAATGTTTTGTTTTTTTGTAAGTGCTGTTTTACTTGTATTTGCATTGAAATACCGGTATCCTTACTTTATCAAAGAGGCAAAATACATCTATCGAGTAGCATTGGTTAGATATCGTCTGACAAAATACATCAAATCCAAACCTTTCTATTCCTTACTGGATCGATTCTTGGATTCGGTTCGGAAGAGCCCACACAAAGCGTTCATTCGGTTTCAGGATCAAACGTACTCGTATGTGCAGTCGGATAAACAGAGTAATAAAATCGCGAGGAGTTTGTTAAAACACGCAGATCTTCATGAAGGAGACACAGTTGCGCTTCTGTTGGGGAACGAGCCCATGTTCTTGTGGATTTGCTTGGCTTTGACCAAGATCGGATGTTCTGCTGCTCTTCTCAATCATAACATCCGATCCAAATCACTGCTGCACTGTTTCACCTGCTGTGAGGCCACGGTGCTGATCGCTGGGCCAGGTAGGCTACACTTCAAACTTTTATTGGGCAAGTAAATCAGTGCTTGATGTAGGCTACTAACTGTAATGTACTTAAACTGTACACAGTAGGCTATGTGAGATGTCTCTCTCTGATGGAGACAGTGTGTCAAATTATGTTGCTATACAATGTTACCAAATGAACATTTGTGTATTTTCTCACTTATTGTGATGCGCATTTTTAACAGTAATTTTAAAATTTTGTTCAACATTTAAAATATGATTGCGTGAGTGGATAATATACAGTCCAGAAACACAATTGTGTCACAAATGATGCACTTATAAAATGCACTGTGAATGTACCCAATCCTGTAGTACAAACATTTTAGAAGGTTCTTTTTTTATTTTTTTTATTGCATTGTAGTCAGACAGCCCCTCGGCTATAAGGAAATCTGCGACATTTGAAGGCATGGTTGCATCTGAAATTGCACACTCTCTTGTGTGGGTATTTATACTTATTCAAAAAGTATGTTTTATATCATATTTTGTAATCTAAATATACTACATTAACCATGTTTTCATTATCATATGACCCACCAATATTTGCGTTCCTTCACCTCCCTTAATAAAACCCTCTCCCGTGGCCTCATGGGACAGTAAAGTGTCCATGTAAACACACTCAGAATGTCACCAGAAGTAGTATCCATTCCAGGTACTTTTTGCAGTAGCACCTCAATGCAGTATATGAGATCCACGGGGAGGAGTCGGATCAAGATCTAAGGGGTGGAGATGGGTAGGTTGGGTTTAGGGATCAGGGGGCGGAGTTGGGTAGGTTTCGCATTAGGTGGGAGGAGTTGGATCTGGATCCGACTCCTCCCCAAGGATTTCATGTGAGAACCAACTCACTTTTATGAGTGCTGGATTTTCTGACACAAGCCAACTATTTTTGTCATATACTGTTTTTCGTCTACTTATAGTAGGGAAGTATGTGATTTCGGACGCAGCCCATGAAGTGTCCAACATTCCACACTGTTTTTTTTTTTGTGGTTAATTAAGTGCATCATCTATATATTTTCTAACCGTTTTCTTTAAGGAGTTTTCATTGTGAACACACTGCTCACTGTTTAAACTACAAAAGCATAGTGTGTAAGTTCACAAATTGGGATGTGGGACTTTTTGTCCTCGCACGAAACTCTGAGGTTTGTACTGCCTCGTCGATCTTTAGCGACCCCTAGGGTTGCGGTCTCATCCAGTGTTATTTCAACATGACATCATGACTTTTGCGTAAACATATACGCCACTTTCGCGCCAGGTGGCGTGTTATCTCTACGCATTTTGAGCTATCCGCGTGTATCCGCGTATATGTCTACGCCATTAACGTCCGCGTCATTCCGCATGTCCGAACACGCAGTCAAATCCCCAGTCATAAATGCCATTAACCCCAGTGACGGTTAAGTTTAGGGATGGGGTCGAGGTAAGTCATATCTTTTTCTTTCCTAGTATGGTAAGGGAACAGTCTTAAATGCCATTAACCCCAGTGATGGTTAGGTTTAGGGACGGGGTTGAGGTAAGTCATATATTTATATAACGTTAAGTCAACGGCGTTCATAAACACGCTTATGCGTCTTGATAGCACGCAAAAAATGGAAATACGAATTGGCGTGTCATACACACGCTACTTCATGAGATCAGTCTGTGAGCTTATAAAACGTAAACTTTGTTATTTATTTTTTAAATGAGCGATCGTTTCGCTTGATTTGACCCTTAATCATCGTCTGGAATCGTTTAAAGCCCTTTGAACAGTTTGCACTGAAACTGTCTTTTGGACCTTGAACCGTTTGGTTCCCATTGTCCATTATATGGAGAAAAATCCTGGAGTGTTTTCATTAAAAACCTTAATTTCTTTTCGACTGAAGAAAGAAAGACATGGACATCTTGGATGAAAAGGTGGTGAGTAAATTATCAGGTTTTTTTTTAAGTGAACTACTCCTTTAGTTCACTTTAAAAAAAATAGTCCTTGCTGAATAAAAGTAAATGTTTTACTTTTGACGCATGACACCACTTACCCCTACAACATTATGCTTGTTTTGGGTGGCTATTTGATAACACACACCCTGGATTCTAATGAAATGGATTAGTTTGACCTCTTTCTTTACTCCTTGCTCAAAGGACAACAAGCCTACATACATCAGTGTGCAACCAGCACAACATTCCTGTAGACGAGCAAAAGAGGAAGATTCTGTGCAGTTTGGCTTCTTAAATGCTTCAATACCTTTGGTGTATTGCAGAGGTAGCGCATTGTTTCTCCAATATACAGTATCACAGTAACATTATATTTTCTGCAGTCGTCCCAGAACTGAGAGGAAGAAAATTTGCTCTTCAGGACAATAGTAGATCCTAAACACAAAACCAAGCCAAACGAATAAAAAAAGAAGCAACATTTCGAAAGACATCTAGTTATATTTGTCACAAAACATTAGACTATTGTTTTGATCTTATCAATGATGAGGTGTCTGGATAGCCAACACAAAATACAAAAGAAAAAATAATGATTTCAAACCTCTTTCAATAGCACCTCCGAATCCAAAGCCAAAGCCAGCGCTGTGATACAAGGGAAGGCAGACGTACACCACATCATCAGACGTCACACCACAAATGGACTGGAAGAAGGCGATGACCCACAGCCTCAAATGAGTGATCACCGCTGCCTTTGGAAGACCTGCAGAACATGCACTCATTTAGTAATTACAGATTTATCCTATTACAGACACTTTCATCCATTCCCCTCCCCTGAATCCAGTCTCACCCGTGGTGCCTGACGTGTAGATGTACGCCGCTGGGCTGTTGAATCTAGCGTTTGCCCTCAGGTCTGCAGGAACAGGCTCATCTGAGGCCTGCTTGATCTTGTCTGTAAGACTTTTCATTCCCTCGGAGGTCACATGGTCAGTCAGTATATAGACCGAGACGCCCTGCTCTCTCAGTGCGGGGAGCACCTCCTCAACAGCATCCTGCAGTTCTACACAAGTGTTTATATTCAGTTTGAGTCATCTAGTCAGTGTTTTTTTTTTTTTTTATCTTTACGGGATACTTGTCAGAAAACCAAAATAACCAGACTGATCTCATGAAGTAGCGTGTGTATGACACGCCAATTCGTATTTCCATTTTTGGCGTGCTATCAAGACGCATAATCGCCTTTCAGCGTGTTTATGAACGCCGTTGACTTAACGTTATATAAATATATGACTTACCTCAACCCCGTCCCTAAACCTAACCATCACTGGGGTTAATGGCATTTAAGACTGTTCCCTTACCATACTAGGAAAGAAAAAGATATGACTTACCTCGACCCCATCCCTAAACTTAACCGTCACTGGGGTTAATGGCATTTATGACTGGGGATTTGACTGCGTGTTCGGACATGCGGAATGACGCGGACGTTAATGGCGTAGACATATACGCGGATACACGCGGATAGCTCAAAATGCGTAGAGATAACACGCCACCTGGCGCGAAAGTGGCGTATATGTTTACGCAAAAGTCATGATGTCATGTTGAAATAACACTGGATGAGACCGCAACCCTAGGGGTCGCTAAAGATCGACGAGGCAGTACAAACCTCAGAGTTTCGTGCGAGGACAAAAAGTCCCACATCCCAATTTGTGAACTTACACACTATGCTTTTGTAGTTTAAACAGTGAGCAGTGTGTTCACAATGAAAACTCCTTAAAGAAAACGGTTAGAAAATATATAGATGATGCACTTAATTAACCACAAAAAAAAAAAACAGTGTGGAATGTTGGACACTTCATGGGCTGCGTCCGAAATCACATACTTCCCTACTATAAGTAGACGAAAAACAGTATATGACAAAAATAGTTGGCTTGTGTCAGAAAATCCAGCACTCATAAAAGTGAGTTGGTTCTCACATAAAATCGTTGGGGAGGAGTCGGATCCAGATCCAACTCCTCCCACCTTACGTACAGCTAAACCTACCCAACTCCGCCCCCTGATCCCTAAACCCATCTCCACCCCTTAGATCTTGATCCGACTCCTCCCCGTGGATCTCATATACTGCATTGAGGTGCTACTGCAAAAAGTACCTGGAATGGATACTACTTCTGGTGACATTCTGAGTGTGTTTACATGGACACTTTACTGTCCCATGAGGCCACGGGAGAGGGTTTTATTAAGGGAGGTGAAGGAACGCAAATATTGGTGGGTCATATGATAATGAAAACATGGTTAATGTAGTATATTTAGATTACAAAATATGATATAAAACATACTTTTTGAATAAGTATAAATACCCACACAAGAGAGTGTGCAATTTCAGATGCAACCATGCCTTCAAATGTCGCAGATTTCCTTATAGCCGAGGGGCTGTCTGACTACAATGCAATAAAAAAAATAAAAAAAGAACCTTCTAAAATGTTTGTACTACAGGATTGGGTACATTCACAGTGCATTTTATAAGTGCATCATTTGTGACACAATTGTGTTTCTGGACTGTATATTATCCACTCACGCAATCATATTTTAAATGTTGAACAAAATTTTAAAATTACTGTTAAAAATGCGCATCACAATAAGTGAGAAAATACACAAATGTTCATTTGGTAACATTGTATAGCAACATAATTTGACACACTGTCTCCATCAGAGAGAGACATCTCACATAGCCTACTGTGTACAGTTTAAGTACATTACAGTTAGTAGCCTACATCAAGCACTGATTTACTTGCCCAATAAAAGTTTGAAGTGTAGCCTACCTGGCCCAGCGATCAGCACCGTGGCCTCACAGCAGGTGAAACAGTGCAGCAGTGATTTGGATCGGATGTTATGATTGAGAAGAGCAGCAGAACATCCGATCTTGGTCAAAGCCAAGCAAATCCACAAGAACATGGGCTCGTTCCCCAACAGAAGCGCAACTGTGTCTCCTTCATGAAGATCTGCGTGTTTTAACAAACTCCTCGCGATTTTATTACTCTGTTTATCCGACTGCACATACGAGTACGTTTGATCCTGAAACCGAATGAACGCTTTGTGTGGGCTCTTCCGAACCGAATCCAAGAATCGATCCAGTAAGGAATAGAAAGGTTTGGATTTGATGTATTTTGTCAGACGATATCTAACCAATGCTACTCGATAGATGTATTTTGCCTCTTTGATAAAGTAAGGATACCGGTATTTCAATGCAAATACAAGTAAAACAGCACTTACAAAAAAACAAAACATTGTACAGTGATTCGGTTATTTTCTGTTGATAAGTTACTTTCTAGAGCCCAGCACTTAGATATAATGTTCAGTGTAGGCGGTGCTTTGCTTTGAGGGAATGAACCATAGACTGTAAAAAAATAACACGTATGAACAGCAACAGCGTTATGATTCACGAGTCACGACTCGAAAAACGGCAACGCTCACATTAGCGAAGATCTTGGTCCGTGTACGTTTTGATAACACTGTAAACATTGTTACCCAATTTTTCATTTTTTTTAAGGAACATTTAACAATTCTATAAACTTTATTCTTTTTATTCTAAGAATATAAGAACGAAAAGAAACGGTTTAGTTAATGTAAAACTGTTGTTTTATTAAGTTAAAAGGTGACACATTCAAGCACTGACAGTACTACTGCTACGACGAGTACAAAAGACATTTGGCTCAAACAAGTACAAGGTTAACTCTTTTTATATACAAAGACCATTTGAAGAGTTCAGATGCAAAAGCCTCTAAATGCCATTTGAAATTTTCTTCTTTAATGATGATTTTTATCAAGCTTGTATATTTAAGTTCAGTAATTTCACTTAAATGGTGTTATTTAAGTGAAATTACTGAACTTAAATATACAAGTTTGATAAAAATCATCATTAAAGAAGAAAATTTCAAATGGCATTTAGAGGCTTTTGCATCTGAACTCTTCAAATGGTCTTTGTATATAAAAAGAGTTAACCTTGTACTTGTTTGAGCCAAATGTCTTTTGTACTCGTCGTAGCAGTAGTACTGTCAGTGCTTGAATGTGTCACCTTTTAACTTAATAAAACAACAGTTTTACATTAACTAAACCGTTTCTTTTCGTTCTTATATTCTTAGAATAAAAAGAATAAAGTTTATAGAATTGTTAAATGTTCCTTAAAAAAAATGAAAAATTGGGTAACAATGTTTACAGTGTTATCAAAACGTACACTACACGGACCAAGATCTTCGCTAATGTGAGCGTTGCCGTTTTTCGAGTCGTGACTCGTGAATCATAACGCTGTTGCTGTTCATAACTACGTGTTAATATTTTTTTACAGTCTATGGTTCATTCCCTCAAAGCAAAGCACCGCCTACACTGAACATTATATCTAAGTGCTGGGCTCTAGAAAGTAACTTATCAACAGAAAATAACCGAATCACTGTACAATGTTTTGTTTTTTTGTAAGTGCTGTTTTACTTGTATTTGCATTGAAATACCGGTATCCTTACTTTATCAAAGAGGCAAAATACATCTATCGAGTAGCATTGGTTAGATATCGTCTGACAAAATACATCAAATCCAAACCTTTCTATTCCTTACTGGATCGATTCTTGGATTCGGTTCGGAAGAGCCCACACAAAGCGTTCATTCGGTTTCAGGATCAAACGTACTCGTATGTGCAGTCGGATAAACAGAGTAATAAAATCGCGAGGAGTTTGTTAAAACACGCAGATCTTCATGAAGGAGACACAGTTGCGCTTCTGTTGGGGAACGAGCCCATGTTCTTGTGGATTTGCTTGGCTTTGACCAAGATCGGATGTTCTGCTGCTCTTCTCAATCATAACATCCGATCCAAATCACTGCTGCACTGTTTCACCTGCTGTGAGGCCACGGTGCTGATCGCTGGGCCAGGTAGGCTACACTTCAAACTTTTATTGGGCAAGTAAATCAGTGCTTGATGTAGGCTACTAACTGTAATGTACTTAAACTGTACACAGTAGGCTATGTGAGATGTCTCTCTCTGATGGAGACAGTGTGTCAAATTATGTTGCTATACAATGTTACCAAATGAACATTTGTGTATTTTCTCACTTATTGTGATGCGCATTTTTAACAGTAATTTTAAAATTTTGTTCAACATTTAAAATATGATTGCGTGAGTGGATAATATACAGTCCAGAAACACAATTGTGTCACAAATGATGCACTTATAAAATGCACTGTGAATGTACCCAATCCTGTAGTACAAACATTTTAGAAGGTTCTTTTTTTATTTTTTTTATTGCATTGTAGTCAGACAGCCCCTCGGCTATAAGGAAATCTGCGACATTTGAAGGCATGGTTGCATCTGAAATTGCACACTCTCTTGTGTGGGTATTTATACTTATTCAAAAAGTATGTTTTATATCATATTTTGTAATCTAAATATACTACATTAACCATGTTTTCATTATCATATGACCCACCAATATTTGCGTTCCTTCACCTCCCTTAATAAAACCCTCTCCCGTGGCCTCATGGGACAGTAAAGTGTCCATGTAAACACACTCAGAATGTCACCAGAAGTAGTATCCATTCCAGGTACTTTTTGCAGTAGCACCTCAATGCAGTATATGAGATCCACGGGGAGGAGTCGGATCAAGATCTAAGGGGTGGAGATGGGTTTAGGGATCAGGGGGCGGAGTTGGGTAGGTTTAGCTGTACGTAAGGTGGGAGGAGTTGGATCTGGATCCGACTCCTCCCCAACGATTTTATGTGAGAACCAACTCACTTTTATGAGTGCTGGATTTTCTGACACAAGCCAACTATTTTTGTCATATACTGTTTTTCGTCTACTTATAGTAGGGAAGTATGTGATTTCGGACGCAGCCCATGAAGTGTCCAACATTCCACACTGTTTTTTTTTTTTGTGGTTAATTAAGTGCATCATCTATATATTTTCTAACCGTTTTCTTTAAGGAGTTTTCATTGTGAACACACTGCTCACTGTTTAAACTACAAAAGCATAGTGTGTAAGTTCACAAATTGGGATGTGGGACTTTTTGTCCTCGCACGAAACTCTGAGGTTTGTACTGCCTCGTCGATCTTTAGCGACCCCTAGGGTTGCGGTCTCATCCAGTGTTATTTCAACATGACATCATGACTTTTGCGTAAACATATACGCCACTTTCGCGCCAGGTGGCGTGTTATCTCTACGCATTTTGAGCTATCCGCGTGTATCCGCGTATATGTCTACGCCATTAACGTCCGCGTCATTCCGCATGTCCGAACACGCAGTCAAATCCCCAGTCATAAATGCCATTAACCCCAGTGACGGTTAAGTTTAGGGATGGGGTCGAGGTAAGTCATATCTTTTTCTTTCCTAGTATGGTAAGGGAACAGTCTTAAATGCCATTAACCCCAGTGATGGTTAGGTTTAGGGACGGGGTTGAGGTAAGTCATATATTTATATAACGTTAAGTCAACGGCGTTCATAAACACGCTGAAAGGCGATTATGCGTCTTGATAGCACGCCAAAAATGGAAATACGAATTGGCGTGTCATACACACGCTACTTCATGAGATCAGTCTGGTTATTTTGGTTTTCTGACAAGTATCCCGTAAAGATAAAAAAAAAAAAAAACACTGACTAGATGACTCAAACTGAATATAAACACTTGTGTAGAACTGCAGGATGCTGTTGAGGAGGTGCTCCCCGCACTGAGAGAGCAGGGCGTCTCGGTCTATATACTGACTGACCATGTGACCTCCGAGGGAATGAAAAGTCTTACAGACAAGATCAAGCAGGCCTCAGATGAGCCTGTTCCTGCAGACCTGAGGGCAAACGCTAGATTCAACAGCCCAGCGGCGTACATCTACACGTCAGGCACCACGGGTGAGACTGGATTCAGGGGAGGGGAATGGATGAAAGTGTCTGTAATAGGATAAATCTGTAATTACTAAATGAGTGCATGTTCTGCAGGTCTTCCAAAGGCAGCGGTGATCACTCATTTGAGGCTGTGGGTCATCGCCTTCTTCCAGTCCATTTGTGGTGTGACGTCTGATGATGTGGTGTACGTCTGCCTTCCCTTGTATCACAGCGCTGGCTTTGGCTTTGGATTCGGAGGTGCTATTGAAAGAGGTTTGAAATCATTATTTTTTCTTTTGTATTTTGTGTTGGCTATCCAGACACCTCATCATTGATAAGATCAAAACAATAGTCTAATGTTTTGTGACAAATATAACTAGATGTCTTTCGAAATGTTGCTTCTTTTTTTATTCGTTTGGCTTGGTTTTGTGTTTAGGATCTACTATTGTCCTGAAGAGCAAATTTTCTTCCTCTCAGTTCTGGGACGACTGCAGAAAATATAATGTTACTGTGATACTGTATATTGGAGAAACAATGCGCTACCTCTGCAATACACCAAAGGTATTGAAGCATTTAAGAAGCCAAACTGCACAGAATCTTCCTCTTTTGCTCGTCTACAGGAATGTTGTGCTGGTTGCACACTGATGTATGTAGGCTTGTTGTCCTCCTTTGAGCAAGGAGTAAAGAAAGAGGTCAAACTAATCCATTTCATTAGAATCCAGGGTGTGTGTTATCAAATAGCCACCCAAAACAAGCATAATGTTGTAGGGGTAAGTGGTGTCATGCGTCAAAAGTAAAACATTTACTTTTATTCAGCAAGGACTATTTTTTTTAAAGTGAACTAAAGGAGTAGTTCACTTAAAAAAAAACCTGATAATTTACTCACCACCTTTTCATCCAAGATGTCCATGTCTTTCTTTCTTCAGTCGAAAAGAAATTAAGGTTTTTAATGAAAACACTCCAGGATTTTTCTCCATATAATGGACTTCAATGGGAACCAAACGGTTCAAGGTCCAAAAGACAGTTTCAGTGCAAACTGTTCAAAGGGCTTTAAACGATTCCAGACAATGATTAAGGGTCAAATCAAGCGAAACGATCTCTCATTTCAAAAATAAATAACAAAGTTTACGTTTTATAAGCTCACAGACTGATCTCATGAAGTAGCGCGTGTATGACACGCCAATTCGTATTTCCATTTTTTGCGTGCTATCAAGACGCATAATCGCCTTTCAGCGTGTTTATGAACGCCGTTGACTTAACGTTATATAAATATATGACCTTACCTCAACCCCGTCCCTAAACCTAACCGTCACTGGGGTTAGTGGCATTTATGACTGTTCCCTTACCATCCAAGGTAAAAAGAAGATATGACTTACCTCGACCCCATCCCTAAACTTAACCGTCAATGGGGTTAATGGCATTTATGACTGGAGATTTGACTGCGTGTTCAGACACGCGGAATGACGCGGACATTAATGGTGTAGACACATACGCATACACGC